CTACTGAAGGTGCTTCAGCTAACCTACTGAAGGTACTGCAGCCAAACCAAAGAAGGTACTGCAGCCAACCCACTGAAGGTAATGGTGCCAAACTTGCAAGCTTGCGCAGCTGTGCCTTTATCCTATGTAGTGACCAGAACACATGGAACTTTAGTGCAATGGTGGAATTTTGCAAGATCTGTAAGTTTTTAGCAAATCTGAATTAACTCATCACACGTGATTTGTTAGAATGAGGGCTGATGGAAAATCCACCCCCTTGGCCACGTGGGTGGGTATGTGTTTTGTAATGAATGAACCAATGCATGTCGTCTGCCTGGGAAAGAACTAATTCATGTCGAGTTTGAGTAGATGCAAATGCCAGAGAGATTGGTGGAACCTTTTTGTGTGTGTGTATGAAAAAGAAAAAAAGACATGAACAACTCGAAATTTATACCACATCCTGTACACATACTGACTGAATTTTTCATGTTTCACATATCCTTCAATTGTTCTGTTGAGGCATATTCCAAACATATCTGCTTTTGATAAGGAAAAAGTAGTGAAAAATGTCAGACGTCTGACCATAACAGAGATCTTGCAGGAAATTTGAGGGTTTGTTACTCTGGTGGAGCAATGGTGAAAGAAAAAGGTGAATATTATACATGTAGCTGGGGTGAGTTGAATATGCATTAACTGGACAAATGCCGCAATACGCAGAAAGGACAAAGCACCGCTTTATGTTGAAAAACAGTAAGATATTTGATGATGGGTAATTGTATGGTTTGATCCTCAGATAATCACTGTCAGCATCTGAAGCCACATCCCTGTTGGACTTCTTTTGGTACAACTACTGTACCAAAACTAAGAGGAAGAATTACAAAATCAAGTCCAAGCAGAATGCATGGAGACTTGACTGCCTTGTCCATAATAACTAAAAAGGCTGAAAGCATTCACAGAAATTTGTCAGAGGAGAATTCTCCCCCCACCTAGAATGGGTTGAGTCTACTACTGCATACCTACAAGATTACCAATACAGAGAAAATACGGAGAGAATCCACATTACTCCATGTCTGTCATTGCAAATGGCTAAAATATTAAGGAAGATGAGAGGAGAAAAGGAAATGATGTGTGGCTTTAATCTTTGAAAGAAAACATGGTGGAGTATGAAAAGGCATGTAAAAAAAGGACAAAAAATAGAATAACCTAGAGTTGTGTTCTTAATAAAAGAAAAGAAAAAAATAGAGCTGTGTTTCTCCTCTGGACAAACACAGCTGTTGTGGCCTGTATTCTTCTCAATTCATAATAACTCCAAGTAATGATGTTTCCATACTTGATATTCTGACTTCTGGGTGTATTTCAAATCGAATAAAACAGCAGAAAACCAGGGTTCTCCCCAGGATTTTTCAAAATGTGTGGGGCATTTGTCGTGATTCACTGACAATTGCAAAGCCACGGCGTGGGGTTCGGGGCCACTTAAGGGCTCCGAAAAGTTTTGAATTCTACATGCTCTCTGATACAATCTAGAGCATTTCCTGAGCTTTTTAGTTACTTTTTTTAACTGGCAAAATGAGATTGATTTCATG